ATAAAATGAAGAATTACAACCATGCAGAAAATACTTAAAAGTAACTGTGAAACATTTTATGAAAATTTGGACTTGTTTTTAAACAAATTCAACTGTTTATGAGTTTTTGATGTTATAAGAGCAGGGGAAAAGGCTGTGCGTCATCTAAAATACTGTTTAAGTGAAGAGCTCTCAAATAAGCTAATATCTTTTTGATCATTTTCAGATTATTATAGGAGGAAAAGTATAGCTGATACACCTGATCTGATTACATTTTGTTTTAAATTTAAATAAAATTTCATATCTAGTTACAAAGTTTCTTTCTATAACAAAGAAAGGCTGAATTCTTATTTGGCAAAATATGCAAAAATACAGATGTAATATTTGAGATTTTTCCATCATTTTGGTTAAGGAAAATATTTATTTTTATTATTTTTTTTTTTTTTTTTTTAGAAGAATCTGAGAAAGTTATCGAGTAAATTTTATTAAAATCAGCTAGTTTTTCATATGGAACAATAAACACACAGCTTGGGTCACTAGGTTAACTCTTTTCACACTGCTCCAGAAAAATTTAAAACTATCCTGAAAGTTTTTTAAAAATTTTGTTATCATTTATAGTTGTTAATAACATAAAAAAATATTAAAATCTTTAGGAAATAATTTTTAAAAAAATGCTAAAATAATTTTAAGCTAAAATATGAAAGTTTTAACATCAGTCTATATTTCTGAGATGAGGTATTGTAAGTATTTACACTATTTACATTATTCCCAAAGACATATGGCCCAGTGGCTAAAAGTGTTGATTGAAGTAATCCAGTGAATTGACCCAAAGAGTTGTGAGTTCAATACATGTGAACAAAAAATTGGAGAGTTTAGTTACGAAAGGGAAATAATTCAAACTAAGACATCCAGAAAAAAGGTCTGGCACTTGGAACTAAAACAATCTACCTCAGTGGGCAAAATAAAGGGTTTAGTCCAAAATTTCAACGTATGTCATCTGAAGAATGGCTGGAGCATACAACAGATGAAATGTCAATATGACAATAAAGAAAACAATGTAAATAGTGTAAATAAAAGTTAAAAATGAATAAATATTAAAATATTTTACTGTAATTTTTATAAAAATCATCTCTTTATTTAAATATTTCTTTTAAAAACCCTTGTATATTTACATATAAATGTTTTAATTAATTTTCAGGCTCAGGTTAACTTTATCATAGATTAATGTAAGAATTGTGCTCTATATGTTTGTTTTCTATATAAAGAATATTAGCACAAACAATTCAATCAAAACATTTGTAGTGTCTTCATTAAAATTTTTAATTCATGACTTCTTGCTGCAAGTTATAACTCAATTTTATGTTTATCCTTTTTAATTTTTATATTTTCAAGTTTTTTCTGATAGACTTAACACATAAATGTTTGTTAACCTTTAGAACACTGCATTATTAATATTACTTCCCTTTCCACTGCATTCTTTTTCAAGGCCTCTCAATTACAGAAACTTTATGGTTAATTTCAATCAAAGTTGTTTTCTGTTGCCATAGCAGGATATGACAACACAACTATGGAATTCAAACACAGGAATCAGTCACCTTCAGTAGCAGGATAAGCATATAAAGTGATAAAGGTGATAATACAAGTATCTAAATTTATATCCTTCAGCATTCATTTTTCATTCAGGTATCACTCACCAGCTTAAAAAGAAGTGCTTAAGTTTTATTTATTTTGTGTGCATGTGCATGCTCTGTTTATTAAAAGTCCACCACAATTGGTGAGAAGTAAGATTTTGTTTTTTTTATTTTAAGAAATTAGTTAGATTTAGAGTAAATATAATAAAATTTTAATTTTATGTTCATCCATCATTGTTCTGAAAAACTTCAGCAGTCATCCCAAATTAATCTTCTACAGTCCCTTGAATGACAGAATGATGTTAATTACAAGCTATATATATATATATATATATATATATATATATATATATATATATATATATATATATATATATATATATATATGTAAATAAATAAATAAGTGGTTAATAAAACAAAAGTCAAATGAAAGGGTACCAATGAATTCAGTACGAAAAACAATTATTAATATTAACCAGGTGACAAAAATAAAGCATGGAGATTGAGGTTTTAAGTTTGGGATTTTTTAACACACCTGTGTTCTTTATCAGTGGATGCGAGAGATAAACAGAGGGATGGTGGAAACTATCCAACATTAGTTTTTTGAGGTGGGAAGATTTTGCTTGTAGGTGGAATTATTAGAAAAAACCCATTCCCTGTTTGATTTCTTGCTGTGCGAAACTTAATGTGAAAATAACTTCAAATTTAAAAGAAGAGACTCTAGGTGACAGAGATGTGGTTCTACAGAAAGATGCTAAGCATATGGACTGAGCATGTGAGCAACAATGAGGTCTTAGACAGGTTACACACAAGGAGAAGGCTTATACTTAACATCAGAAAGAGGCAGTTGAAGTTTCTGGGACACATAATGTGGATAGAGGGCCTGGAGAATCTGATACTCACGGGTCAAATAGAGGGAAAGTCCAACAATTATTTAAGACATTTTTTATGTTTATTGTCCATTTCATAATGTATGACATCATTTGTTTACATTTGGATATGTATTGAGCAGATATGAATGAATGAGAGAAAATCATGGAGAATTGTGTTTAAAAACAGTAAAATCGACCTTGCTAACTGAATGCTCCTCTGTGGCCCAATTGGTTAAGGCACATCAGGATATATGACGGTTCTGTATAGGATACAGGTTTGATTCCTGTCAGAGGACGCATATTTTCTATGAAAATTTCTTAGACATTCAGGCTGGTAAATGTTGTTAATACTGTTTATTATAAACAGAGCATTTACTTAAATATTTGTATCTATAAAAAGAATGTATAAATATAAAAAAATATCTTATTAATATATACTTAACAGATCTGATCTGTTACATCAAGCACTGTTTTATTAAGACCAGCAATATATATCTGATATATTATAATTATATATACAATGGAAAACTGAAAACCTTGTTGTCACTAATCACAATAGCCCCATCAAATCTAAACTAGAGATGAGCAATATAAGTGTGTCAGTTTCACTGCTCAGTACAAGACTGTGTTTTTTGTCATAAATCAATTACTTATATTGGATTTACTACCACCTTGAGTAGATGTCTCACAAGTCATTTATCTGATAAAAGTGGTATAAAAAAAATATCTAGCTCTCCACAATTTACAAGAACCCTTTAGAAATATTTTGGTTGAGAACACTAAATTTCTATATAAATCACATTACTTGAAACATCTCGCTGTGAGAGAAGCCCTGTATATAAAAAATCTCACTCCCACTATCAACCTCACCCTATTTAACAGTGGGAATGGTGTGTTGAAATTTAAAAAAAAAAAAATAGAAAGACACTTGAATTCCAGTCATGCTCAACACATGAAACTTGGAAGAAATGCTCCTACTAGTAGTCAAACATGAAGAGAAATTAACAACACCTAAAACAAGCCCCCACTGAAAATGGCTAAAGAAGTGGCTAAAATCACTTAGGACAATTTTTGCACTCCCTTAGCTGACTCCCACCAAACAGTTTCTCCAATTTTTCATCAACAATCTGAAGAACACAGAGAAATGGAAATTACAAACCAAAAGATGTTCTTGTAGATGGTGTATTTTCCAGTGAAAATCATATTATTAGCAAAAACTAGATTTCTGTCTGATTCTTCAATGTATGAAAATAAACTTAAATTTAAAATTTTGATTGGTGTAAAAGTGTTAGGCAGGTCTGTTGTTACTAGTGTGTGTCATGGGATTGTAAATATAAATGAAGAGAGTTATAGGTTGGGGAGGGGGAAAGACGTCTCGTGTGTAGCAAGTTGTAGCAAAAATTGGCAAACCACGTGGTAGCGTGTTGAAAGACAGAAATAGGGTTAGAATATGATATAAAAAGGAAGAGAAAGGTGGGGAAAGTAATATATAATAATAATAATAAAATATTATTAAATAGAATTAAATGAAAAGAAAAAAGTGAAGGAACAAAAATATAAATAAAAACAGAGGAAAAAGCTTGTACATATATAGATGCACATATGAATGTTGAACAAACACAAATGTGCCCGAGTGGGTGTCTGAATTAGGGATTGGTTAGCCACCCTGGTAGACAGGTATCCTCGAATTATATAGCTATTAGCTACCTATATATATATGTGTGTATATATATATATATATATATATATATATAAGAACCTTCAAGATTTAAGATTATTTTTTTTCTTGTGTCAGTAGGTGTCCATAAATTAGTATAAGAAATTTTAGTGTCTTTTTTTGCAGTGAAAAAACATTGATTTGGAAATTCTTTCAAAAATCAAATAATTGTCAAATCTCAATAAAGCTTATTCACAAATTAATGAAATTATTTTAAAAATGTGTTTATTTTGGAAAATCTTGGCAAAAATATTTTTATTACATGTTATCCCCACATGCATACCTATTTAATTTTATGAAATTTCAAGAAATTCATTTTTGTGGGATTATATTTCAACATAATTTTGTAAATGCACTTAATTGAATGAGTATTAATCACATGGTGAATATTATAGAATGAACATTTCAGATCCTAATTCAGTTGATTATTACATGTCATGCTATAGACTTAGTGATTCACCTTATGTAATCACACAAGGTACTATCAAAAAAGATTCAGGATTTCAGGAGATGTATCATCTGTCAAGTGTTTCCTGTGTCTTGCTGAACGTCACACATCTTTCAAAATTTCTCCACCAGGAAATTTTTTTTTTTTTTTTTTATCTGTTTCTAAAAACAAACATTTTCTTTTCCACTGAAATTAAAATAGTTAAGTAAGATTTTATCTTTTTCTGTCATAGACAAACAAAATATTTATAAATAACTAGTAATTTATAAAACTTGATTTAAATGTTTTTCTTTTTGTGTTTTTCAGTTAGAGCATTGTTACTGTTAATAAAAGCAACAGCCCCATTGTGAAAGATGACAGAGGTCCACAACTTTGGCACTGAGGCGGTCACTTGCCATGCTTGGAACAAAAACCGTAATGGTAAATGCAATTTTTCTTTCTTTTAACTGCGGGAAATTTAATGACTCCCCAAATTGAGTCATTGGTTGATGAACAAAGGGAGATAATTGAACATTGTAAAAACATACTTTAAACAAAAAAACACATTACATAACAAAAAAGAGAATAGAGGATTGCTAAAAACATATTCTTTTTGCAGTTAAAAGTCAAGGCATCAGGAAGGAAATCCAAATACATGTCTATTTGAAATAGATAAAACACTTATCTGAATGGTGTTCATATTCTACTTGTGTTAGCTGCATTGTCCCCTTGCACTATTCAGGTTATTCTGTGGCCATTGTTGCCTGTTCTTGAGTGGGCAGAGACACACCTTTTCTTTTAGAGTCTTCTCAGCATCTGAAGTTGGCATTTGAAATCTTATTTCATGCCTAATTTTGGGTCTTGCCCATTATCAGTTTATAATAGACTCTTCTTATTATCAGCAGGAGACCTCTATTAAAGGGAGATGGCCTATATTTTTTATATAATGTTTTCATTCACTCTGCTTAAATATCTTTTTACTTTTTCAGTCACTCTGCTTGAATGACTTCTTTTTCCTTCAACCAGAGTGAATGAAAAAGGGACGACCTTCAAGCAGAGTGAATGAACACATAAAAAGGAAAGACATTCAGCTTCTTTCCTTTCCTCTTTTTTCATTCACTTTGAATGTTTTTTTTTTGTTTTTTTTGTGATATTATATTTATTAAACCTATCTCTATGCAGATATTTGTTAAATTTAGTTTAGTGTGCCACAGGGCCACAAGATTAGAGCACGGAATAAGGACTGAACTCTTATGTTAATGAATGACCTATGATACCAACTTGTTAACAGTTGCCCTAAGCTAGTGGTTTCCAAACTTTATTTCTCTAGGCTGCATTTTTGGAATGAAAATTTGCTTGTGCCTCATCAAATTTCATGTAATAAAAGTACATTTAAAAATGAAGAACAGCGAAGGGTAAAGGGAGATAACTACGGATTCGAACTCGGAACATTATCGTTGATAACTCTTTTTCTAGTTACTATATTCTTAATATTTGATATAATGCAAAAATATCACAATGATAAAATTGGTCACTAATTATTTATAACTATTTATACTGAGACCCATGTATGCAATTACAAGGAATTCATAATAATATTTTAAATTTTGAAATGATATTTATTTTTTACATCTGAATTTTTTGAAACTGATTCTAAATCTTTGTCTTTCATTCCCCCTCTCACCATCTGCTATCCTCTTCCACCGCAGTAATGAGGCACGCAGCACCATTTAGGAATCACTGTCCTAAGTCGTGTACATTCATACTCTATGCATGTATAATAACAAGTCAGATTGCTTCAAGATTGTAGCAAAAATTCTGGTTTATTTAAATATTTTACTGAAAGGTGTGTTTTGAAAATTTCATGACGTTATAAATTTTCCTGGAATTTGTTTTACTTAAAATTTAGTAAACTTATCTTTTACATCAGTTTGCATTATTTATATTCCAAGCATGAAATTGAAATTTTTTTTATTTTTTATTTTAAAACAGAATTGGCTTTGTCGTCTAACAGTACCGAGGTGAAAGTTTACAAAAAGACCGGTGGGTGCTGGCAGGAGTATGAGACAATGACGGAACATGGTCAGAGAGTGACCAGTATTGACTGGGCTCCTAACAGTAACCGCATTGTCACATGCGGATCGGTAAGATTGATTGTTTTTCTGCTTTAGTTATGAACACATCATTTTAGTTGGTTTCAATCTTACTTAAAAAATAGTAATATTAACTGTTTCCTTATAAGGAAGCATTTGGCATTCATTGATTGAGCAGTCACTGTTGCTGTTGAAATTTTTCTCTCGAAACAGTTTTTCAGGAAAATGGGTTTCTTAAGTTCAGTAGCTGTTATTACTCTTTCTAGTATTGATTAGGTGTCCTTCCTAACCTTTTGTTTGAAGTGGTGTGGAATGTCAGCATCTTGATTATATCATTATTCTCTCTTTGTGTTATAAATGCTATCCATTTTAGTTGCTGTTGTTGTTGAAAGTCTTCAAGTGACAGTCAATGAAAAAAATGAGATAATATTTATCAAAGTGGAACTAAATGTCTATGTAGATACATTTCTGAGATATTGTAGGTTTGGTTAATAATAAAATGAATATAGCAATAAAGCAGCTTACAATTCACCCCTACCTTTCCAAGTGCTTATAAAACTTGTTTGCACTGGACATAATTTTATTGGGTATTAAATTAACCAGTGTGCTTGTAAGAAAAAAAAATTTGAAATAAGGAAGATTTTTTTCAAACATTTTTATGGATTAGCATTCATTGGATTTTCCTTAAGCTGTACTTTTGTCAGTCAAAAAATATTGCTATTTTTTTTATCCTTTTAGAAGTGGGAGTGCTGTTCATAATATAAATACACTGTCAAATTGATTGCTGATTTTTTTTTAAGGAGTTATCTGTATTTTGCTTTTATTCACATTCAAAACTGATTATGACATTGCATAACTATTACAAATTGTAGGAAAAGTACATTATTGATTTGATTGAAAGCAGATTACCATAAAGCTTCAATTTACTTACATTATTTGGCCTGTTATCCTAATCTTAGTTGCCATATTCACAATGTTTCTGCAGTTGTACGCTCTTGCCTTTTGAATTTTGAACCAAACCCCCTATTTTGTCCACCTAAGGTTGGGTAGATTGAACTACTTCCATTTACCATGCCTCGTCTGTGGTTTTAAATTTCAATAAATCCTCTACTAACCAGTCATTTATTAAAGCTTGATGAGATGTGTTGGTATGCATCGAAACATGATTGCATTTATGTAGTGTTATACTTATGTCGCTGTAATTATCCTAAAATAAAGAATATAGCTCTACTTTTGTATTGAGCCTGCTTTTAAATTAATATTACAAACTTTGGAATTTATATGCAACTGGTTCTCATTGCAGATATATATAATGGTTTGGGTATATAGTCTTGCTGTTTTCATTTAGTTTCCTCTTATTTTTGTTTATATTTCCATCACGTTTGTTATTAAATATCCCACATTGTAATAATAGAAGATCTACTAATAAAGGTAGAATCTTATATGAACCTTGGCATACATTTACTAGCAATTATTACAGGTGATAGAGTAAATTTCTCCCTCAAGTTTCAGCTTATTGTTTTGTTTTGTATTGATTTAGTCTGTTATTGTTTTAGAAATGATTGTAACAAATTTTATGTTAAGCTTAAATGAATTCTTCTCAATGTTAATTGTGATAGAGTTGGTGGGTAGAACAATATATTTTGATATATCAAAAACAATATTGGGGGAAAAAATGTATCACAAAGTGGGAAAAGTTTTCTTGTGATGCATTTTGTCCTTTAGGGCTTCATTTTAGTCCAGTGAGGGCCTAAAGGACAAAACCTGCCACAAGCAAACTTTTCCCACTTTGTCATACACCCCCCCCACATATATAGAGTGTGTGTGTGTGTGTATATATATATAGAGTGTGTGTGTGTGTGTGTATATATATAGAGTGTGTGTGTGTATATATATATGAGTGTGTGTGTCTGTGTATATATGCATGAGTGTGTGTGTATATGTATGTGTGTGTATATATATATATATGTGTGTGTGTATATATATATATACATACATACACACACACACACACAAATGCCATATTTGACAGCATATAGGGCATACCCCAATTTCAGCAGGGAAAATTAAGAAAAAATTAGCAATTAGTAAAATTATTAGTAAATGGTGTAGCCTAGGCTATATTTATGAGGTATTATTTTGGTTAAAGAAGCCATGATTATGATATAAATAAAAAATAATAGGAGCCTATAAAAACTTTATATCCAAAGGTAAGAAAACTAAATAAAAATCAATCAATTATTACAATGTAGCAAAACAGACAGTTACTATTAAAATTTTATTCATCTTCAAATCCGTAAAATTCATCATCTTCATTATCAAAACTCTGGTAACTTTTCAAAACATTGTTCCAACTTTATATGTAAGAGTGATGTTAAAGGAATGATACCAAAATCCACAAAAAAAGTTTTTTTGTGAATTTCTCTACCTGTTGTTAATTAACTAACAACACAGTGAATACAGGGAGATGTGGTTATTGTGCTGAGAAAACTATTATTAAGAAACATGCACAGATCAGGATGAAAATGTATTTCTTTGAAGCATCTATCATATCTGTCTTCTTTTTCAAAGTGTATTTAGACTAATGTTGCCAAGGCTGTGTTAAATTGTGAGATGATGGCCCAGCACCATATTATTTTATTTGTGGCAGTGCTGAGAGTTAGTGTAAAAATAAAGATAAGGTTGTGACAAATGCTTGTAGAAATTCCACTTTCATTTATGTGCAAAATGTAAAATGAAATGATTTAGATTAGATTTTGGGAGCTTAAATCCCTTAATTTTATTGACTAACCTGAATTTCACTTTGCTTTCTATTGTACAATATGAGAATATAATGTTGATTTGGGGACTAAATTTTTAGCCTATAAATTTCACTCTGAGTCTTTGTTCTTTCAGGACCGTAATGCCTATGTCTGGAATTATAACGATGGGAAGTGGACCCCCATCCTGGTCATCCTGCGTATCAACCGGTCAGCAACAGTTGTGAAGTGGTCACCAAAAGGTGAACTTTCATTATTTTTTTTTTTTTTTTTTTATGTTACTATGGAGTGAGTAGCCATGGTTAAATACAAAAAATAAGTAACAGAACTGTCTGATAAACAGAATGGATAAATTTGCAATAAGCAATAAAAAAGAAAAGAAAAAGGTAAAAAAAATAATATAAAGCAAACAAGCAATACACACGAGTCAAAGCAAGAGTAATAAGGCAAAATGTCCAAAAATAAGAATTGGGGTTGGTACACAACGAGCAAGTTCAGACAAGTGAATATAGCGTTCAGATGTCAAGACAAGACAGACCAGGACTGAGTCAGATGAAATAGAGAACCAGCCTAATTTATTGTGTTGGAAGATATTCCAGCATGCATTTGTGTGTTTCTGCCTATAAATTAGGGATGGAAAAGTGTTGTGCGGTCATTTCCACTTGGGATTGAAACAAACAGTTACAGTTTTCTTAAAGTGCACCTTTCGAATATACAAAACTTTATGTTCAATTTAATCAGAATTTCTATTTTATTTCTCATTATTATTATTATTATTTATTGACACTAAACAATTAATCATCATCAGTTCCATGACCGAGTGTGGGCATAGGGTAACTGCACAACAGCATCTGACCAGTTTTCTCCACATATGTGCCAATGTCTGAGTCTCTGTGTTGGATTTTTCAGTCTACTCATTTTTTTTCTCTGTCTCCTCTTTTGCCTAAGGTGGCACCTTGTAGGGTGGCAGTGGCAAGATTGTTACCTCTTATGACATGACCATACTGTTTCACAGTAATTTATTTGAAAAATAAATTACTTAAATTTGCTGCATAGGTTATGCCTAATTAATTTGCTTTATTGAAAAGGGCTTTATTTTTTTGCAAGTCTTCTCAGTCAGCCATTTTGTGTGTTTCATTCAAGGCTGCATGGTTGGAGGGGAAAAAGCAGTAGGAAAATTATGTTGTGTTATTTGGGATGGTAATGATGAATAAGGTTTGTGATATGGAGATGGTAGGAAGTAAAGATCATGAGAATAAGAAGGATAGATATCAATTGACTCTTTATTTGAAGAGGTTGACATTGTTTTTTGCATGCAGGAAACTTAAAGAAGAAAGGATTTTCTACTCTTGGGAATAAATTTTTCAAAAGACAAACCTGGAGAAATTAAATATATCTTTATAAATATCTTATAAATTATATATATATCTTATAAAGAAACAATTTATACAAAGAATTAAATAACAATGTTAATGTGATTAATGGTGAAATCACTTCACTAACATGACTTAATGAGACATTAACTTACTATCAATTCCTTGAATAATAAGATCCTTATATTCAAGTTGTCAGATGGAAGACATATGCCAAGTACTTTTGACAATTTCAAGTTATCATCTTCAGGGCACAATTTTCCCATACACAGGAAAGCATTAAAATGAAATATGTGTAGAATGAAAGATGTTTTTTTTTTTTTTTAAATTATGTTATTTATTGACAGTTAAATTTATGTTTTGGAGTGAGCGATGTAGTGATGTGAGAGTCTTTGTTCAAATCGATCAAGTAAGAATTTTGTTTGAAGTTTGAAAAGTTATAAATCCACAAAATTTTTCTTGATCTATGTATTTATCTGTTAAAGTGAAATGGACTTAGTATAATCCTATTGGTAGAGTAAAAATATTTTCCACAGAATTTAAGATTCTGATTATTACTGTGCTGTGGATCTGATGTCGTAAATATATTAGTGTGCAGCTTATATTTTATATCATAATGAAACAATTTATACAAAGAACTAAATAGTAATATTAATGTGATTAATGGTGAAATCACTTCGCTAACAAGACTTAATGAGACATTAACTTACTATCAATTCCTTGAATAAGATCCTTATATTCGAGTTTTATTGTTAAATATATTTTATATTTAAATATAATCTATTTATTTTTATCAAATATAACTTATTTTTAAATATAATTTTATTTATTTTTAAATATAAATTATTTAAATATGACTTGTTTTTTGGAATATGACTTTGTACTTTTTTAGGTATGAATTTTCATATTTAATGATAACATTATCTATATATTTTAAAGGTTTTAAACACCTTTTATTACTCTCTTAGTTTTAAATTAACATTTCATTCTTTATATATATATATATATATATATATATATATATATATATATATATATATATATATATATATAATCCCAATTTAATGTCTTATGTTTAATATCTGGGTTTAATTTTATAAAACTTCTTTTTAAGACAAATACCTTCCACCCTCTCCTGACCACTTTCTTGTGCCTTTCATCTGATGGAAACATTGAAATGGATAAATTCTGTATTAGTTTTTCAATCTTTTTTTCTTCTAGATTTCACAGCTAAATTTCTATTTCCAACACAAACTCAGTCTATACCGGGGTTGAATAAGACTGGTGAATTATATTTTCGTTGGTCAAAATAAGCCTATACCCCATGTGAGGTGATTTTGGGATTATATTGTGTATTAATTTTTGCTCTGTAATAATAAATACATTGAGCTCTTTTTGTGGATCAGTTTTAATATTTTATGTTACTAGGATTCACTTGGATTATATACTAATGGATTTATTACCTTTACAAGATATATATATATATATATATATATATATATATATATATATAATTGTTTTTTCACTTACCTCTTGTTTACTTCAGGGTTTCATGGCAGCAGCAGATTAACTCTGTTCCAAGTGGCTAGACACCTACAGCCTCGAAACTCCGAACTTAAGTGAAAAAAATTTTTTTATATTAATTCTCTTAACACTCAATCTTCAATATTGAGCTCATTACCACAAAGCCTACAATTAATTAATTGCCTTAAATGTCTCCTTATCAGCAAACCACTGAAGAACCAACAATTTTGATTCAAAAACAATATTTCAAATTAACACACACACATATATATATATATATATATATATATATATATATATATATATATATATATATATATATATATATATATATATATATGACAATTTTTTTTATTTCCTAAATTTTTTGGAACCAGAGGGAATTCATAGATACCAAAAATTTGTGATTATCAATGACAGATTAACATCTTTCTTTTTTTTTTTTTCTCATTCTCTTTTCTCATTTTCTCTCTGTTTCTCTCTCTCTCTCTCTCTCTTCCTTATTCTTTTCTGTTCATCTGTAAATAACTGATTTAATTTTTGTTTCAGAACAGGTTTCTAATTACTTTTGTAATTCACAGGACATTGAAATTTCATGATGCACATCAATAACGAATGCAAAGATCTGTTGTTTACACATTTACTATTGTGTGCCTTTTTGGTTTTCAATTGCTGTGTCTTTTATTCATTTATTTACTATGCATAAAAATGATTTTTGATTTAGCATCCAAATAAATAATTCCAACTTCTTTGTTCTGGCAGAAAATAAATTTGCTGTTGGCAGTGGTGCTCGGCTGATTTCCGTGTGTTATTTTGAGGAGGAGAATAATTGGTGGGTGAGCAAACACATTAAGAAACCAATTCGTTCTACTGTTACGTGGTAAGTTTTCAGCTTTACTATGTCCCTAATTGTGGGTAACAAGATCTTTTAATTTTTTTTTTTTTTTTTTTGACTGCTTGGCAAAGAGCATTTTCTTTTAAACTTGTGGACTAGTGCTACAGAATCACAAACAAGAACTGTACCAAATAACAGAAACCATTTCAGTTGAGGATTTTCATCAAGAGCTAAAATAGATATCACATGTAACTCAAAGAGAAAATGACAACTATAATCAAGATGTTGCTATTCCACACCACTTCAAACAAAAGGTTAGGAAGGAAACTACATCAATACTGGAACAGCTACTGGACTTGAGAAACCTACTTTTCTGAAAAATTATTTTGAGAGAAAGATTTTATAAATTTCCACCAACAGTGGCTGACTGCTCAGTCAATAAATGCTAAATGTTTTCTTATAAGGAAACAGTTGATATTACTATTCTTTAAGTAAGACTTAAACCAACTAAAATGATGTGTTCATAACTAAAGCAGAAAAACAATCTTACAATGTGACAATATAGTTACTGTTAGTAGCCTAGTCAATATTGGTCACTCTCTGACCATGTTCCATTATTTTCTCATACTCCTGCCAGCACCCACAGGTCTTTTTGTAAACATTGATCTCGGTACTGTTAAGCAACAAAGCCAATTCTGTTTAAAAAGAAATTTCAATTTCATTCTTAGAAATGAAAACAAGAAATATTGAGCTTTTTAAAAATTTTTCCTTTTTGTTTAAAAATAATCATAAATTCTTTGTTTTAATTTTTTTTCATTTCACAATACAACATTGATCTTGCTTTCATGGAATTTCAGAATTACAATTGCAAAAACAGTTTATATTTCCATTTTTATTTTGTTTTTTTTATATAAAATGTAGAATGTGCTTCATATTTTTTCTATTTCTTTTCAGTCTTGACTGGCATCCTAACAATGCAATGTTGGCATGTGGCTCCACTGACTTCAAAACCAGGTCAGTTTGCTGCTTTTTCTCTTGAAGTATTTCCTTATTTGGATTGATTTTTTTTTCCATTCTGGATATAAGTAGTCTTTGGTTATTCTATTCTCGGAGGCATTTGATAAGAACTTTTAAAGTTGTCTCCCTTATTCTAAACTAAAAGTTACTATTTACACTATTCAGACTGTTATCTTCATCTTTGTTGCTCTGGCTTTCTTCAGATGATTGGAATTTCAAACTGAACCCTTTATTTCATCCATCTGAGTAGATTGTTCTAGCTTCGGTTATCTCAGTATCAGTTATTTCCCTTTAACTCAAGTTTTTGTTCACCTCAGCTGTAGCCAGGTATTGAACTCTTTGGGTCAAGTTACCTGGATCCAACCAACGCTTTTATCCATTGGACCATGTGACCTTGAGGGCATCTAGGTATGAATTTTGGGGACTTATAAACCTAATGTCTCAGTAATAATTTTTTTACCAGAGCTCACATGTTGTTATTGTGATTCTCTAGCACTCTGTATTAATAGTTCCCATATTGTATTCATTTCTATGCTTGGCTGGCTTAAGAGATTTTTGCGACCTAGCATATGTGCTGATTCCTTAAGTTTTCATATTTTCCAGTGATGTTCTCTATTATTTCAACTTCATCTCACAGGGGGAAGTGATCTCCTTTTTCCATCCATATATGGTCAGCTATACTTGACTTTTCTATTTCCCTTTGTGTTATGGCTTTACAGTGTTACAATGTAAATAGTGTAAATAATTACAGTACCTCATCTCAGAAATATAGACAAATACTAAAAGTTAGATTAAAAAATTAAAAATATCCTATTGTTTTGTTTGTTAGAAATGACAAAATAACTAAGAGAAAATCTTTGGTATGTTAAATTTTAAACAGAACCTTTTTCTGCTTCGGTATTTTAAATTTCTTGTCTAGCAGCAAAACAAAAACATTTTTAAAGAAAGTAATTTCCTGTTATAATTAATTTGCTAGTCAGATTAGAAGGTAATCTTTATATTTATGTAATCAGTCTCTTCTGGCTTGCAATAAAGTTGTCTAACTCATTTCCTTTCAACCAACAATTGCATAAGGTAGACAATCCAACACGTGTTTACTCTGTGCTACTGCAGTTGAACATTTTCTCTGTCGCCTCTTTAAGCACTTTTCATAGATTGAGTGACAGTTCAAATTTGCATATGTTTGAAAGAGATTTTTGTGAACATCTGTCTGTCTCTGAGATCTATCTTTTTTAAATATATATCTTCTTTTTGGGAATATTTTCCATGTGTAACATATCTGAATCTGTTTTCATCCCATAGGTAAGCCATTTTCTCTAGTGTTACAATTTTATTTAGAAGAGGTTAAAGAAAGAAGTCACTTGAAATATTCACTTTGATCATTGTAGATTTTCTTCAAGGTGGATTATGAGGCTCAAGAAAATGCTAGGATTTCAAATATTTTTATGTTGGATGCTGCAACAAATCTTTCTACATCATCTCTTCCTCAATTTAGATTTGTGTGAAACTTAATATATAAATTCTTGATCTCAAAGTTATTTAGGTTTGCAGTTTTTTTTTTTTTGTTAAGTGTTAAAAAGAAGATGGCTTACAAACAGTGGGAAAATGTTAAATATCTGTAATTGGTAGTCCTTGGTATGACAATAAACTACATCTGACACTAAGGCCTCTGATTGGGAGATTGGAGATTTCAAGGAGTGTGGAACCACATCTTAATTGCTGTTGTTCCCAGGTCCGCCTTGACGGGGTGGAGTAGCACCTGTTAGGGTCCCAGATATAGGCAAATAGTGAACACCCCTAAACAAAAACAAAACATTATAAAAGTAGGAAAAATACATTAGTAAAGATACCAGCAATACGCATTTTTATATAAAACAAAAATTATTAACAATACATTTTAAAGTAAAACGACTAGCAATACATTTTATCTGTAGTTGAAGGCATACAATGACATTCAAAATATATTTAGTTGAAGCCATAAAATTGTGTTCAAAATATTTAGATTTTTGCATTAAATAACCCATAGAGGTGTTGATATGCCACTAAACAAAATCAACCAACCAACATGAAAGAACTCTTTCATGACATTAATTCATATAATATTCTATAATTTCTTGAAGAAATCAAATTTTATTCCAAAATATAACTTCAACAAAACTCCAACATAAAACACATATCACTGCCTCTAGTAATCATGTCCACACTAACATGTATCGACACAAAATAACATGTATCCTATTTTTATGACTCTCTTCTGCCGGTTGGACCTTGGTCAAATGCTGCCACTTGCCGTTGGGTTGTTCACTCTGGTCTAAACTATTGCTCTGTCCACACTGTGTTGTTTGATCACAGAGCTGGCAAAGATCAAATTGTCATCAACAAATGTAGCATTGGTCTGTTCCAGGCAAAGCTATGTCACAAAGGAATTTAACCAAAAAAATGTCCTTGCAGATAAAGAAAAGACAACAGTTCTTCAGGGTCTAGTTTTATGAAAATTTATATATTGTTTTTATACAATAAATTAGTTCTGGGTACAAAACATTAACCCTATCCACATTGCATTTTATCGTGACACTATACTCAACCAGGTAAGTCTGGAACAAGGCTTGTGTCAGAGGTTTTTTCAGGCAGTAAGTTACAGTGGTTATCTCTTGTCTGTTGTCTAGAACTACTGATACCTCTGGCTTGGTAATCTCAGTATTCATTCTTATATTGATTTCCACCCAAAGCTGAGATGGGGGTTGATTTGGATAATCGGGACTCAGTGGTTTCCCTATCTCCAACAAGAGCCTCCTTGTTGCCTGGCTCTGGAAAATTAATTATACTTCCAAATTTAGAGAAATACCTTTTTCCAATGGGTAGTGGTCACAGGATATTGATCCACCCAACACCTTCCTTCTCTTATTTGTGCTTTGCACCAACATTTCCCAAAGAGCATAGGCAATTCTTCCGTCTTCCTCAGTACTTCATTTGCACTTGTCACCTTAGTTGTCCTTTGACCAATTTAGCTCTCAACCACGTGGCATGGCTAGTTGTGATCATTAATTAAAATTATCATTTTAATTTCACATCAGCAAAATTTCTTGACCTTGCTTTGCTCAAAAATCAGAAATTTACCAGCTGCTTCCTCCAGTGTCATTGTATTTCAAGCACCCTGGGTCTTTACACAAGGAAACTATATTCCCTTGATTTGGTTACAGAGATCACCAAATTTTACCTCCCTGATGTGTGTTTTCATAACCAACGCTCTTTAAGCTGCCTCATTAATCAGCTGTCAGCTATATTTCGCCATTTGGCTTGTGTGGTGATTTCTTATAACAGAATCACTTTTCTTTAAAAAGAAATAGACTTTGGAAATAAAAAGAAATCCCTTCTCCTTCTCTCAGTCTGTCCATCATTCTTTTTTTTAACCCTTCTCATCTTGTTCTGAGCTGTGTTTTTAATTTAACCTTTTTTTCCGTTTATCAGTGTCACATTTTTATTACTTCAAAGCTCCTAAGAAAATAAAATTTTGGCATTAAATGACTCATAAGGAGTTGATGTGCCATTAAACAAACAAAACAAATTATTTGGATAAAGATGTTTCCTCAGTTTGAGGAAAAATGTTGCTTCCAGTAGTGCCAATGACTGTCATATATGAGTCTTTATTCTTATTTTTCTTTTTTTGTAAGGGTTATATCTTCTAGCATCATGATCATTTTTACAATGTGTTTTGATTAAATGAAAGAATAGAAGAAACTTCTTCATGGTTTAAATATTTAGAAATGAGGAAATAAAAACAGAAAGCAAAAGAAAAAAATCTGATTTTAGATTTTGCTTTTATAAAGAACAAAGTTTCATTTGATATCAATGATGAGTTTGATGGTCTGGTCAATTTTGTGGCTGGTGAGGACAATACAAAACTACTAGAAACTTCCACAGTGACCACAGGGAATGTCTGGCCTGTTGAAGGCTCTGCTTGGGTATTGTTTATTCACCAATCTGCTTACCTCCAGACTGATGCAACTGCTTTCAGGATGGTGGTGCACCAATCCTGACAGTTGGAAGTTTCTATGGTTCACAGGTGTGGAGCTAACATTACTTGGTGAGAACCTTCTTTAGGATGTCTTTATAATGCCTCCCCTAAGACCTTATGACAGCTTTCTATATATAGTATCTCTCATGGTAGGTAATGATCTGGGATTTTAAAAAAAGATATCCCACTGATGTAGCTGGCTTGTTATATTGGTACTAGAACAAATCCACAAGTCATTTACATTGGAACTGATTGATTCATTTTGTTTGTTTTTTTACAGCTTATCAACCCTTTGCAGGTTATTTAAAGCCAGAAATTTTTTTTAGATTGTAAGAATTTTATTTTTTTTTTAGATAATAATGGCTTAGTGATACAAGTTTTAATAATTAACTTATAGCTTGGGGGAGAAGAGATGGATTCATACCCTTTCGCAAGGGTATCTGGACATAAATGAATATAATGAACCCAACTGGAATTGGAACTCTGCTTTCTGATTAATAATTCAAGCCATTATCCATTTTGCCATCTGCACATCCAAGCTTACAGCACCTGGTATTCCCCGGAGGTCACCCATCTAGGTACTGACCAGGCTTGATGTTGCTTAACTTTGGTGATCGTCTGGGGACTGGTGTTTCAACATTATGTGGCTGTAATCCCTACATTCAAACTGAGATTTATTCAATACATATGCATGATAATAAATGGATGTTTGGCTTAGTGGTTAGAATTTTAATGCTTTGTTAATGATACCTGGTTTCAAATCTCATCATAGCCAATTTGTCAAGTAGGTGCCTTTGATTCTATCAACCTTCTCCCCAGTAGTACTGCATACTGGAATCCTCTCCCCAAGCTGATATATTTAAGAAGTCATCTCCTTGACAAATTGACTATGGTGAAATTCAAAACCAGGTCCCCCTGGTCAGGATACTAACATAACTTACAGGCTTTTTCAACTGATGATTTTACCAGATTATATTTTGTTTTTTGTTTGTTTGTTTTTTTCTTTTCTCTATCTCTTCCCACATACCTAAAAAACAAAAAAAACAAAAAGAAACTAAGGACTGCTCAGCATAGTTGCAGTATAAACTGGGAGGGGGAACTCTGTGGGTATTGAAGAAATGCAAATGTGCCTGAGCAGGCATTTGCAACAGGGATTAGCTAGACACCCTAACAGACAGGTATACTTAGAAATGACCAGCCAACCATGATCAAGATGAAAAATATTATCAATATTTGATTAGCAGGAAAATGTTTTATTCTTATGATTTTCATGTTTATTGATAATTAATCTCAGAAAATGTATTCTGAAGGTGATGTAAATATTGAAATTATTTTAAATTTTTTTTTTTAGACTTGGTGTTGGAATAAACAAATCACCAATAGAATGAGCAGCAAAATATTCATTACTAATAGTACAGCAAATGTATTTCTAATATGGTTTCATTCTTTTATGTCATACAGGGGGGCAGCATCTTTTACTTGAAATTGGCAAAGTACAATCACATGTTTATATTCAAACACATTTAATTAGTACAGGTTGTAATGCACACATGTGCTTAAATGTTTGCACATTTTGCAGTTAATTTAATCAATTGTTTGATAAGCAAGGAGATATATATATATATATATATATATATATTTATTCCAGTCGAACCCATTACATTCACTTATGTGCTAATACCCTTGGGGAAGGTATGAATCGTCTTACTCTCCCTCCAGCTATGGGTAAAATAGCAGGACAGACTGGGTTCTATAGCCTTGGATGGCAACTGTTCTAGGAGAAGGACAACTCTGAATTCAAAACCTGCGGAGAGTCGTTTGGGGACCTTGTGGCACTTGGTGCACCAGGTCTCTGTATTCGTCCCTTCAAAAAGTGTGGATGGTCCTGCACGAGGCCTTCACCACTATAATCAAATCTCGTGCCAGTGTCGAGCTGTCAGTTTCCTGGAAACTGATCTGCTTGACCCTCATACATCGAATCTCGATGGGAGAGTCGATTATTTATTTATTTTTATATATATATATATATATATATATATATATATATATATTTGCACTTTGTGGTGAGTGGGGGGGTCAAATGTTATTTGGAATATTAATTTTTTTTTTTTTTTTTTTTTTCTGCTACAGAATTTTCTCTGGATTTGTCAAGGATGTGGAGGCAAAACCTTCTGGCGCCCCATGGTGGGACGGCAAGATGAGTTTTGGGACTTTGCTGGCTGAATATTCGAACGGTGGAGGTAATTTTTTGTGCTTTTGAACTTAATTTTCAAGGCAGATGAATTTCATCAGTTATTTTCTGAACTCTGATTTGCTGTAATTGACTTTCACTCCAGGCTTATTAGAAACTTCAATGTTTAACCCTTCAGCATTCATTATGCTCAAAGCAGCCCTATAAAATTTTAAGCTTTTAATTGATTAATTTAAACAAACATTGAAAAAATATTTTTTTGATTGGTCATAAAGATAAGACCATGTGGGTGGGGGGTTACTGGACAAAAATTTTAGAACTAGTCAGTGTGCTCATATCTTCAGGTATGTACTTAGCTCATATCTGTCATTAAATTTCAGATTTTAAAATGGCTAAGAGTAAAATTTTAACAAAGTTTGAATAGGGCAGGATTGTTGAACTTCAAAGACATAGTCTTTCGCAACAAGCCATTACAAATGAAACTGGCCATAGCAGAATTGTCATTGCTAACTTCATTAAAATTCATGTGTATACTTCTAAAAAACCAAGCTGTTGACCCAATAAAATCTTACCATCTCTAGACAGACACATTAGGCGAGAAGTTAATAGAGTTTCAAGCCTAACATCAAATCAGATGCTGAATGCAGTTCTCAAACAATTCGACGGTATTTAAATAAGAAATGGTTTAAAAATGTGAAATGACTGCAGAGGCCTCGCCTTCTTCTTTGCCATGAAACCTCCTGATTACAATTTGCTTCTGATTATCAAACTTGAAATGTGGATAAATGGAAGAAAGTGTTGTTTGCAGATGAAAAAATTCAACCTTGATGGCCCAGACAGTTTTCAGTGTTACTGGCATACAAAAGATGTCCCAAAAGAAATTTTTTCAACATGACACGGTGGAAGTGGATCAATTATGGTCTGGGGGTTTGTTTTCGTACGATGGAACTCTTGAGTTACAGGAGGTAAAAGGTCGTCAAACAGCTGCTAGTTACATTGATATGTTAAAGTTATCGCTAATTATTGAAGGCCATTGTCTATGTGGAGAAAACCGGATTTTCCAGCAGGACAATGTTGCAATCCACAACACTCAAAGGCCAAAGGAGTTTTTTATGGAAATCCATAATCAGCTTTTGAGCCAGCCACCATGCTCTCCAAATCAAAACCCAACTGAGAATGTTTGAGGAAAAATGGCAAAGAATATTTATAAATATGGATCGCAATTTGAAACTGTGGATACTCTTAATAAATTAATCAATTAAAAACTTAAAATTTTCACTTGTTTGTTGATAAACTTCATTTTCTAATTAAATGTAAATGTTTCACCAATATATTTCAGTTAAAGTAACAGTATTTTATATTTTTTAACTCTTTTGTATCTGGTCTTAAGATTTTGACCAGGAGTGTATTACTTTAAACATTCTTAATGGATACCCATATTTGAGTAGATGCTCCGTTTAACTTAAATGGTATTTTATTTTTCTACTGGCCTGAACATTAATTTAAAAGAGGGCTCAATACCAAAAAATAGAGCAATAGTTATTATAAGTTGTTATATACGGACAAACAAGTAATCACTACTTTGTGATTACTTGTTTGTCCGTATGTAACAACTTTATATATATATAAAGTGAACACTGAAGTCAACCCCCACAAGCGATAGTCTATTTCATGCTAAATGCAGTCATCAGACATATGTCCTGACGATTATATATAAGCATAAAACACTGTTGTTGCTCTGTTCATGATACTAGAATAATAGAGCATATGAAGAAGTTTTAAGGCAAATGGAAATGCAAAGGACACTTATACTTAGAATCAGAAAGCGACAGTTAAGTTTTGCAACATATAGTGAGGAAAGAGGGTTTGGAAAATTTGACACGCAAAGGGTAAGCAGAAACAGTAAGTAATCTACCTAGCAAGATTGTGTAAATAGATGGCAGAAATGGAAAGGATAGTTAAAAAAAAAAAAAAAAAAAATTGCTAAGAGCTGTAGGAAGTCGTGGAGAGCCGTGATTACACGTCCTAAAAGGACACAGCATATAACGGAAGAACAGTAAAAAGAATGACTTGAGTTATATAAACAAATCTTGTAGTAATGACTTTTTCTGAATTTTGTTAGATGGTGTGTTTCGAGTATTCCTGTACACCTCAAATGCTAAAACCTTGAGAGTAGATGGGTGAAAAATAAAATGAAAACAAAGAAAATTTAAAGAAAACCACATTAAAGAATTAAGACTCATCTTAATGTTACAAATCAGCTTCATTAATCTATAATTGAATACATGAAGTAAATTGATGTTTTCTTTAAAAAATAATTTCTTCTTAGGTTTGTCTTTTGTCCTTAACTTTGAGTGATACATTTTTATTTGTTGTTAAAAACTGAGAAAAGTATAAAAGCTGTTTGCCTCCTTAATATTAATTGAATTCTATCTCTCATTAAAATATTTTGCTGAAAGAATTGTCTACCATTACAGACGGAATTTTATTTTTCTCTTTCAGGTGGTTGGGTACATGATGTGTCTTTTTCACCGAGTGGTGACAAGTTGGCCTGGGTTGGGCATAATTCAAGCATTTCTGTTGTCAATGCTGCAACTGGGCAACAGTAAGTAATTGCTTTTATTTTTATTCCATTAACATAATATAGGAGAAAATTATATATTAATTTTTATATAGTGTTATATATATATATATATATATATATATATATATATATATATATATATAAAAATGTGTAATTTCTGTCACAACTTTACTTCTAAAGGCTGTAGTCCAATATATCATATCATTTTGGAATCGGGCCAACTCTGTGAGCAAATTAAAAACATCTTGGGTCGGATCCTGGCCTGGATTCCCAAGTTTTCATTACCATGGTTGTTTTCAGCAATTTTATTATGTGATTTTTTTTTGATTTTTTTTGTGACAATTTTTTTTTTTTTTTTTTGTATGACTACAATTTTTATAACTTGGAAATAAATTTGGGAATAATCAAAATTAATTGTAAAATCCAGCAAACGTCCCCCATAAAATAAAAATATTTGTTTGTATGGAAAGTAAGGACCTACATACATCAAATTGTCTTTAAATTAAGTGGTGGCAGAAGAATTATTGTTGAACCTTTAAAAGGTAGGCTTAAATATTTTGAGTTCTTCTGTAGTTTATTGTTGCCTATTGCATCTACTCCTCCCTACCTGCTGTAATGAAGGCTCAATCAAGAGCCTTCCACAGGAGCTAGGTTAAATGCTGCCCAATAGGGCAGCTTATATATATATATATGTGTGTGTGTGTGTGTGTGTGATGCCCCACTAGCCCTAAATCATGATGTGATATTTTATGCCAGTTGTCTAAGGAATTGGAAATACACTTATAAAAAGTGTATAATTTTAAAAAATTTTTATCTTTATCCACTGAGTAAAGAACAATATAAAAAAATAAAGATCTTGGCAAACATGGATCTTCATGCCCACAAAAAAAAAAAAACTGTAGTGTCAAAAGGGCAGTTTTTTCCCATGACACCTGCTTTTTTTCAACTCCTTTCATACTTCAGCAATAATGTTTATTATTTTTGTTGTCTATTCACAAGAACAAAAAAAAAATGTACAAATTTACTTTCATATGTTTATTTTTATTTATTTATTTTAACAATTGTAATCATTGCTTTTAAAAACAACAGACATTGCTGAAAAGTGAGGTAGTTAAAATAAAAGTGGTGTCATGGGAAAAATTCTCCTATTGACACTGTATTTTTTCAGGCATGAAGGTCCATGTTTGCCAAAATCCCTTTCATATCATTTATTTCTTTCTCTCTTTTTTTTTATACAGGATGGCTGTTCTTAAAACCAACTTTCTGCCTTTTGTATCTTGTACTTGGTTGAATGAGTCAAGCATTTTGGGTGTGGTAAGTTTATTTTTTGAAGAAATTCATGACTCTGGTATAAAAATGATTAGTTCCACCAGTTCAGACTGTTACAGCTAAGATTTGCTTTTCTACATCAACAGTTGAATCACTCACTTTTTCTCTATATTTCATTCGTAAGCAGGAAGTTCCACTAAAATTGCTTTTCCCTAAGAACAGCTACTCTGTGGAATAAAATCCCACTTTGGTGCTTCCCTGAACATTACAATCTTAACCTTTTCAAGTCAAGGGTTAATATGTCTTTATTATGTTCTTCACTTTCTCCTCTTACATTCATATCACACACTTCATTTGTTGGATGGTTACTGTAGCTCAGTCAGTATAGCATCATCTGCATTAGACAGGCTCCCAAGTTTACAAAAGATGAATGCTTATTGAATCATAGAATAAGCATGGTTAAAAAAAATTGTAATAAAATAATGAGTCAAAATTTGAAAATAATATCTTCATCTTTGTTGTTTTTAATATCATGTTTTAGTTGATGTCTGACTTTTCAAAAATCTTTTGGGGTTGACTTTTCATAAGAACATTAAACTTAAAAAATTTAATGACACGTATTTGTTGATGGGATGAGAACAGCATAATTTCAACCCCCCATGCCCCTAGTTGCAACAATTCTGCTTGATCTTTTTGTCACTCTCTCTCTAAATCTGAAGATTGCATTGAAATGTGAAAACTGGCAGTTATCATGCAGTTTTGATTCCTATATCCACACTGTCTATACTTATAAATGGTCTATATCTGATGCGATACTGCACAGTTTTTCTGATAAATATATGCCCTGTCGACTGGGGCTTCACAATACAACAACTTTACAAAGGGATAAGACCCTCACCTCAATAATGCATCCTGGGTATGATGATAAACTACATCCAGCAGGAGGGGCCTTTGATCAGGATGTTTTGAGGAGCATGGAACCATGTCTTAATTGCTGTTTTTCCCAGGTCCACCTTGACTTGGTGGAGTAACACTTTTTAGAGTCACAGCTATGGGCAAATAGTTAAAAAAAAAAAAGAAAAACTGGGGTCAGATACTATGAAACTTTAAAAATAGGTTTTTATAGTAAAAATACCAGCAATACATTTTTGAAAAAAAATATTACCAGCAATGCATTTGACACTCAATACTCTACTCATGATCCTATCCTAAAACATTTTGTCAGCATTAAATAAACCATTGAGGTTGATGTGTCATAAAACAAAATAAACCAAACCAATAGATGTAATCATATACATGCACGACCAGGTTATTCTCTAGACTAGTATAGGCTGCAGCCTATGGCCCCTCAAGCTTGATTATAATGCTGGTTATAAAAAATCTGTTTTTTTTATTTTTACTAAGATTGTGTTGAAACATGTGCTAATTTGGTTTGCAATAAATAGTAAATTAGTGGTATTTCTTAAAGAATATTTTTGACAAACAAAAGATAGCTTTCCTAGTTTATTTAAAGAATTTGCAATAAGTTTACTCCAAGCTATGTAAATTTCACTAAATTATTTGAGACTGATGTTGGCAATTTAGAGGCAGAGCTTCTAATTTCATTAGACTCAGTGGGGTGCCAAAAGCTCATAATCTTGCCCTGTATACATGCCACAAATTACATTGGGGACAGCAATAAGGCGACATTTGCATAAAATTCAACTTTATTTTTGGCTTTGGAATTTGATACAAAAAAAACAATTTGCATCGAAGGAATATTTATTTGTAGTCTGTTTGTGTACTCTGTGTGTGTGCATGCGTGCGTGCAGTCTGGGTGTAATCTCTCTGTCTGTGTATAGTCTCTCTCTCTCTCTCTCTTTGTGTGTAGTCTCTCTGTCTGTGCCATCTGTCTCTCTATTTCTATACTCACAATATCAGTTAAGGTAAAAAATATGAGAAATCAACTTCAGCTGTAAATTTATTGAGCCTTCAAAAACTCTTGCATTTGTTTTTGTTTTTTTCTGAATTTCTGTGATGAGAATTTATCATTATTTACATTGTTCTCATCTTTGTTGTTGTTATCACAATGTTTTGGCCATCGTGCTCTTCAGCCTTCATCAGGTATACATCAATCTGGGTAACTGACAGTAAATTCTGAATTGAACCCTTTATTTAATCTAGGGTGGTGGGGATAGACTGTTCTTGTTCTACTGCTCATGTCTAGTGATATTTTGTCTAGCTTTTATTTTTAGTATTAATCAGTTATTGCTCTCCCTGAGACCAAATATTACCCTGCCTGGTCTAGGGATTGAACTGGTGTTGGTTTATGAATTTGGTGATATAGTAAGAGTATTTATATAAAAATTTGGCCATTCAGTTTTTTTTTTTTTCTAATTATATTTAGTTTCACACTTGTAATTTTTTAGGGCTATGATTGCTGCCCCCTGCTTTTCTCATATTCTGACCAAGGACAGTTAATTTTTACCTGTAATTTGGATGTTCCTAAGGAACAATCAATAGGCACCCAAAGGTAAGTCTTTCATTTTCTTCTTTGATCAATAGATTGAATATCTATCATCATCATCAATAACATTTTTTTTTATAATCATTTTTTGTTACTTTTTTTATTAATCTATTAAACAACAATCTTTAAGAAATTACCTTCAATTGTTACAGATTATCATGGATTTTTATCATATTCTAATCCTTATTCTTATTAATTTTTTTAAAAAATTTTAATGTTAATAATTTGTAATTACTAATATTTTTAGAGGCTTTCTGAAAAATTTTAAATGCTTTTTTTTTTTTTTTTTTTTTTTTCAGTATAATTTGTTTTTCCTAATTGATATTTTTTTTAGATTGTTAACATCTGAATCATACTGATATTTTCTAGAAATTGAAAGCATTGAGATGTGCAGGGGCACGTAATGGTTATTGCTACAGAAAATGGAATTACTGTGCTCAGTTTAAATTCTGACTGCATCTGTTTACTTTCTACTAATGTCATAGTAAAAGACATGAATTCATCTTCCTCCAGCTATGGGTTAAATAACAGGGCAGACTGACCTCCTTTGCCTTAGAGTCTCTGAGAAGGAAAACTCTAAATTCAAAATCAACCTGAATCTGTCAGACTGTCTTGCCCTAGACACACTCACTACTGTTATGGCTACATTACATGGGTTGGTTATGGGACATGTGACATGACATGATCAAAAGTATTTGGCATTGGAGAGCTTTTTTTAACTTTACACAAAAAGCTTATGTTTTTGTCTTGTTTTGTTTTTTAATCAAATCATTGTCATAGAAACAGTGACCCAAAAGTTTAGTAAATCTTTTGTCAGTTATACAAAAAAAATATATTTATTGGAAGAATATGATTCAAGACATTTTACATCTTTTGGTGCTTTCTCTCCTGTCCAGTTTTCTTTTTTGCCCATTTTTCTTTTAATTTCAAGCTTTCTTGGTTTGTGTGTGTGGTGTTTTGGGGGGTAATGGTTAATGAGCTAACCTAGCAGACAATTACTACAATGTAGTATGAGTTAAATTCTCTATCAGTGCCCCTGAACTTATGCCATCCAAAACTATATTTGATAAAAATACCTATAATTCTAAAATGTGAAAGAATAAGAAATGCAAATATTGGATGTTTTCTTACATTTAAAATATTTTCTCTTTTTTTAGTGCCATGCAAAGGTTTCGAGATCTGGACAGAATGGCTGCCATTTCAGATGACACAAAGAACGTCAAAACTCTGCATCAGAACACTATCACGTTAGTTTCATTCTCTCTCTTTCTTTTTTCTAGCCATGTCTTCTGTTTATCTATATATAAAATCCTGTGACTTCTGTTTGTCTGTCACACCTAAAATAGCCATACATTGGCTAATCAAAACCAAATTTGGGGAGAAGTTTTACTAGGGTGCAGAACTTAGTACAATAAATTTTCATTAATTTTTCAAAAAAATTAATCAAAATTTAAAAAACAAAAAAAATACAATTGCTTTTCCAAAATTTAAAGAAATGTAGAGATTTTAAATTTAAACAAAAAATAGGAGCAATAACTTCAACAATACTGTAAGGATTTCAACATACATCAGCATGTTGTCAAAAAATTCTAGTTTTCAAAAAGTTCTTACTTCAGTATTCCTGAAATTTCAATAAAACTGTTTTCTTAGTCAATTGAATAATGAAAAACAAAATTTTATAAATATTTATTGAATGAATTTATACTTGTCAATATTTACTAAACCAATCTTAGCTTTGCCCATCTCCTCACCACCAGCCTTCAGGAGCAAATTGTTAATGGCTTGTGAGGTAAATTCAGCAACAAAATTCATAATTGGCTGTGCAATATTATTCCAAGAAATACTGTAACAACTTTAAAAGAAGTACAGTATTCCTTTCAAGGTGAAGTGACATACAAGAAAATCTTGGTCAGCCATCATCAATTTGTCTGGCTTTCTACACTCTCTGTATCGGTAACTGCAACTAAGAGCACAAAGCATTTGACTGCAGATATCAGTGAATCCTATAATAGTTGCAAAAGAAAAATGTGATGCAAGTTTCACTTAGTATAACAGTAGCATTCTGACTTTAAGATGAGACAGACTGGGACCAAGTCATATGAAATCAAGAATCTGCCTATTTTATTGGTTAGGTAGAAATCCCAGCATGCATTTGTGTATGTCTACCTATAAAAGGCAGAGGGGAAAGTGTTTTGCAGTCATTCCCTGTTGAAATTGGGATCAACAATAGGAACTATAGACATGCTGATTCCTTGGTTGTTCTTAGTATATATAGTGGATACTGAGGTCAACACCCAACAGTGACAGTCTGTTTCAGGCTATGGTGGCTCATACCCAGGACAGCTTTGTGAGAACAAGTGTGTATAAATGTTCAATGTTTAACAAATATATAGCAATTAAGAGGTGGTTCCACACTCTCCTGATATAATTTAGCATCATACCACCTCTTAATTTCTGTTGTTTTCTTAATTCCTTACCCTGGGTGGTAGCACCAGTTTGGGTCCCATAGTGAACCCCAAACAAAGATAAATGGTACATTTTTATAATACAATGACCAACAAGACTAATATCCCAAAATTTTTAAAATCCAAAATATAACTTCAAGAAAACTCCAATACACATATCACCGCCCCTAGTAATTATGTCCACACAAACATGTGCACAAAAAAAAATAAAATCAAGAAGCTTTGAAGAGTAAGGGTCAAAACCATTTAGCCCCCTTTTTTTTTGTTTATTGTTGAAATTTCTTTTTGCTTCATTTCTTTATGATGTCTTTATTTTATTATCCTTGCCCTTTCTCGCTCGTTTGTCAGTTGTTTATATTTTGCTACATTTGTTCTTTTACACATATTTTAACATGTCTGTTTACACCAATAAGAGAGAAAGGATTTTTTTTTTTTATCTCAGTTAATCTGAAACTGAATTGAAATTTTTGATTGTTTTTCTTTTTCAGGCAAGTCATTGTCTATTCTGGGACCAAGGAGGATTGCTCCAAATTCTCTACTTCGGGTGTTGATGGCAATTTGATTATTTGGGACTTTAAGGTATGTGAAATTGTCCATGTACTTTTTGATTTCAGCATGAAAAGGCAGAAATTGATTGATACTCTTGAGAAAAGCATGAACCCAATAGAGTTTTGTCCACGGTATGGCACAGTGATACATAAAAGAGATTTGAATGTGATTTTGTGGAAAGTCTCCTTTACAATAACTTTGTCATAGCGTCAATAGTTCAATTCGATTGCTTTATAACAATGTGAATAATGTTCCCTACATTCTCACGAAATGGTTCCTTATTAACCTCAAATTCAATAATGATATTGTAATATCACTTTTACAGTGTCACTATACTTGCTATAACCAGTATTTAGCCACATGCAACTTTTTCAAGAATCAAAGTATTTGGAAGAAATAAAGAAATAGAGAAAAAGCCAAAGCAGAAAAAGAACAATTTTTTCACTTTTGTGAAGTTTGTAAAAATAAAAGGAAAGTGTTAAATTCCTGACTAAATAAACCACAAGGACACATGGCACAGTGGATAAAGGCGTTGGTTAGATCCAGTGACAGACCCAAAGAAGGTGTTCAATTCCTGGTTAAGGCAGTAGAGAACTTTCAGAGGGAAAATTAGCAGGAGATAACTGATAACTGACATCCATCAAACATGGCACGTGGAACTAGAACAGTCTACCCCAGCGATCGAAATAAAGGGTTCAGTTCGAAATTCCAACTACCTGAAGAAGGCCGGAGCGTACAACGGCCGAAACGTTGTGACAAATATGGCGACAAAGATGAGGACAATAGTCCGACTAATGTAAATACTGTAAATAAACCACATTTTACATTTGTTTTCTTTGTGACACAAAACACTGCCTGAAACCACAAAGCAAAATGAAATGAGTTAGAAATATTTTTAAAAAAATAATCAGCAACGAAAGGTCTGGAGATTTGAACTGAGAATGAATCCATCATTTATCTTTTTACTATAGCAGTAACTGTGAAAAATTCATGCTTTTCCTAATTGAATCATTTGATGAATCATAATTGTTAATTGAATAAGCTCCTCAAAGGTTCCGTGACTATAAAATAGCTGTGGAACTTTCCCTGTTGCATTGTTAAATATTTATATAAAACAATTATATAAATGTAGAGTAATTGATCATGGTTAAATGTAATTGACAGAACAGCTCAAGAAACAGAATTAACAAAGTTTGCAATAAACAATAACAAGAGAAAACAGAAAAAAATATTAAGCAAGGAAACTATATGCAATGCACAGTAACAAGGCAAAAAGTTCACAAACTAAGAATAGTGTTAACAAACAAAAGGGGGATATAAAAAAGCAATAGAATGTAGTGTTCTGGCTGTAAGACAAAACTGGAACTGGGTCAGATGAGACCCAAGAAGTGGCCTATCTTATTGGCTAAGAAAAAATCCCAGCATGTATGTGTGGTTTTGTGTAAGGCAGTAGGTGCAGTCATTCTAGTCAAGATTGTAACCAACAGATATTAACAGCTTCAACAAAATATTGCAATAATAATCATAATGTAGGTCATCATTTAAAGAATTAAGGGGTTAGAAATGAAAAGATTTGAAATTGATAAGTTTTCCAGTTCACTGTAGATGTTAAACACATGAATGTTATTACCTCGTCTATCTTTCCTTTCCCTTCCCTAAAACCAGTGAATGGGGAGCTAGCAAAGAAACCCTTCTTAAGCTTTATAGAACGTTGATCCACTCCAAACTGGACTATGGCAGCATGGTCTACCAATCAACTAGAAAGTCTTATCTAAAAACAATAAACACAATACACCATGAAGGCCTTCGGATAGCTCTAGGAGCCTATCCCACCTCACCTATAGAGAGTCTACATGTAGAGGCAAACGAACCCCCATTACAACTAAGAATGGAGAAACTAGCTACTCAATGCTATCTAAAACTCTCTTCCTGTCCTTCTAACCCCACACACGATTGTGTACTTACACCAAATCACAAAGAGAAATTTAATCTTAACACAAATAAAATCAAAACATTGGGACTCCAAATGGAAGGAATCATCCAAGAAAATAATATACAGTCTAATCAAATACTTAAAACCAACCAATCAAACATACCACCATGGATAATCAAAAATCCAAACATAATATTAAGTTTAAACAAATTATCAAAATCAAAAACACACCCCACAACATACATTGAAAAATTCTCAAAAATAAAAGAAAAATATCAAAACTATGAAAGTATTTACACAGATGGATCAAAAGACGAAGAAAAAACAGGCAGCGCAGCAATAACAAAAAAAACAATTATCAAAAAACGCTTGCCAAATGAAGCATCAATTTTCAGTGCAGAAGCTTACGCAATAAAACTAGCACTAAATTTCATATCAAAAAACAATATTATTTTCTCAGATTCATTATCTGTATTAACATCCCTAAAAGGGAAAAGACTGGAAAATCCATTAATACAAAGTCTTCTATATAAACTACATTCAATGGAAAAAAGCAAAAATATCATCTTCTGCTGGATTCCTAGCCATGTTGGCATCCAAGGAGGAGATAAGTCAGATACTGCTGCTAAATCATCTTTAAAAATGACAATTGACGAAAATCTTCAAATTCCATATACAGACTTAAAATCTAAAATATATAAATACATAAGAAACAAATGGCAAAATCTATGGAAAAACCAAACCGGAAATAAATTATTTCAAATTAAACCTAAAATAGGAAAATGGAGAAATAATCTTGGAAATACTCGGAAAAAACAAGTTGTCATAACCAGAACACATATAGGACACACATATTTAACTCATTCTCACATATTAAAAAAGACAAATCCACCAAAATGTAGATGTGGAAGCCTAATCACAATAAGACATATTCTATCGGAATGCAAAATCATAACTAGAATAAGACAGAAATATCTCAATGGAAAAGATTTAAAAGAAATATTCAAAAATACAGACACAGAAAAAATATACAGTTTTCTCAAGGAAATAAAAATCCTCAATAAAATATAACCCTTTCAAATAGTGTATATATATGTGCTTATAGACATATATATGCATCTATGAATGTAAACAGTAAAATACACAATCAGAAACAGTCACAAAAAGCAATCCCAAAAAATACAGAAAATTATGAAACCCAACAACCTTTCAACCTTTTATACAAAATAACCAACTTAAATTCATAAATTAATAAGGCTTCGGCATAAATTGACCCAAATAGGAGTTGACATGTCGTTAAATCCAACATCCATCCATCCATCCTAAAACCAGTGTTTCTGATATAGCTTTTTCTTGTATCTTTCCTCACAATCAAAACGGAGAGAGTTCATTATTTATCTGAGCTAATGGCAGAATGTAATGCATGTGCTAACTAATGTCGGAACAAAGATAATTCAGTGAGATTAATAATGCCCCTCTGATCCCTTGGTTAGATTGAGAAATGGGTTTGCTTGTGACCCCTGAGTTTTCATTATCTGCATCAATATTTGTCAACCTTTTTTTTTTTTTATCCCACAGCATACTTGAACCTAAAATTAAACTTCTGCAGTAAACTTAAATTGTGATGATCAAAAAAGAAAAAACTAGTTAAAATAGAGTACACTTTTTATGATTTATTTATTAACACAAACAAAACAATTTGTAATAAAAAGATAATAATTAAAATTATTAAAAAGACTTATTTTTCTGTTTATTTTAATTTAACATTAAATGAGATATCTGAGCTTGAGGTTTTTTTTAGAATATCTTCTTTGCAATGTTGAATTTTGGACAGAATTAAACATAAAATGCAAGAAGACAGAATGCATGGTTGCCATCAAAAAGATTAGTTCAAGATGCAAATTACAAATCGGAAATACCAAAATGAACTGGGAAGTGTTTTAACAGAGGACAAAAAGTGCAACACTAAAATCTAAAGGCACATCGGGATGGCCAAAGATACATTCCAAAAGCTAAGCTGAGTATTAAGAGACAGAAAAAAATATTTAAAAACAAAGAAAAAAGAACTGAACTGTTATGTGATATCTGTCCTCCTATATGGCAGTGAATGTTGGACAGTTTACTCAGAGATGAAGAGGAGACTTGAAGCAACAAAAATGTGGTTCTACAGAAGGATGCTGAGAATATAATGAACAGAACATGTAAGCAATGACAGTTTTAGAGAAAATGGAAATAAACAGGAAAGTTATGCTTAACATCGGGAAGAGGCAATTGGAATTTCAAGAGAACATAATGAGGAAAGAGGGCTTGGAAAATTTGATACCCGCAGGACAGATTGAAAACAAGAGGGACAGAAGAAAAATAACATACATACTTAGTGAGCTTGAGTAAATGGATGGCAAAACAAGGTTTAGGAAAAATTTTTATTAAGAGCTACAAAGGATAGGAAATTGTGGAGAACCATGATCAGCTATATCCCGAGAGAACACAGCACATAAAGAATACTTTTAAATCTTCCAAGAATTATAGCTTTGATTGATTTTTGTTTTTAACATTGTTTATTGTCAAAAAACTTACTTTGCACAAATATGACATTGAGCATGGAAGAAGTATTTCTATTGCTTTTTGTAATATTTGGAAATTCCCCTGTAAGGGTTAAATAAACTGATGTAATATCATCTTCACTACTTTTGGGCACAGTTCAATACATACACAATGAGGCATTGTCGAGTCCTTCATGAAATCAACTAATTTCAGCATATATAGGTGTTCATTGTCATGTCCTTGTCAAATCGTGCCACTTATGGTCGTGTCATGCGGCTACATTTCACACTACCCCATCTACCTTATATATTATGTACATGTTTATTTATTATAACAATGATATACTTGTAAAATCAATTTAAAGGAATTTTAATTTTGATATGTACACTTAGTGTGCTTTGGACTTCTTTTGAAAATAATTAATGATTTAATAATCTAGGTTTCACTTTATCACCAAGACTTTCAAGTTGATATCCTGCTAAAAAAGTTTGACCAATGTTGACTATGAAGATGACCAAGCTATCACTGCAGACGCCATTACCAATGCAACAGTTCTCTTACATCATCTAGAAAATGCTGCCAATGATGTTAGACTCTGTCAATGCCTCTAAAACTAAATTCATAAGCTTCAACCGGAAAGGCTCAATACAAAATGTCTTGGGTGAATCAATAAAATCTGTTGAATCTTTTATGTAGCAAAATAAATTCTACTGAAAATGGATGTGAAAGTTCATATAGCTAAAGCCTGGGCCATCTTGAATAAAATGGATGTAATCTGGAAATCTGATCAACCAGACAACCTCAGAGTTTCTTTTGCACCACTGTAGAGTTGGTGTTAATGTATGGTGCCATTGCTTGGACATTAACTAAAACCCTAGAGTCTAAGCTTGATGGAATCTACACTCAGATATTGAAAGCTATACTTAACATCTCATGGAGACAAAATCCGACTAAATCACAGCTCTATGGAACCATCCCTGATGTGTAAATGCAGAATGTGCTTTGCAGTATATTGCTGGCAAGCAAAACAAGAACTTGCGAGTGATTTTCTACTTTGGACATCATGGTACAAGATGGTTGGTCTCCCAGCAACTACTTATATTGATCAGCTATGTTATGACACAGAATGCCTCTCTAATGACCTTCTGACCTTGATGCAGGACTTCCATAAATTCAAAATCATAGACAAAGATCAGATCACTTTCCTGTTTTCCACACAACAATGCAACAAAGATAATTCTTCAAATACCAGTGCAGGTTGAACTTCTGTGGTGACTTTCTAAAGCATAGCTTAGTTGTTGTAGCACAAGTCCAAAGTGCCGAAGGTTGAACTTCTATGTGACTGAAATCAACAGACATTTGAATATGTCAGATTTGTTCCCTCATGTTGACATACACTTAATGTAATGGAGATGAACAGAGTATTGTAGGGTCTCGTCTTGATGTAGTATGGAATGTATTTCTCTCCCAGATCATGTCTCGTCCTGGGTATAAAGATAAACTACATCCGCGTCCAGGCCTCTGATCAGGACGCTTTGAGGAGCGTGGAACCACCTCTTAATAGCTTGTGTTTCCAGCTCCACCCTGTTCAGGTCCCAGCTATGGGCAAATAGTTAACCCCGAAACTGAGGTAAAATGCATTATGAAAGTGCTAAACTAGGTTTTAATACCAGAAATACTTTGTAAAAAAATTATTACCAGAAATAAATTTTTTCAAAAAAAAAAAATATTACCAGAAATAAATTTTTGAAGAAAAAAATATTACCAGCTATACGTTTTTGAAAAAAAATATTACCAGCTATACAATTTTGAGGAAAAAAATATTGCCAGAAATAGATTTTTGACAAAACAAAAATATTATCAGGAAAAAAAAAAGTTGTCGGTATTAAATGACCCATTGAAGTTGATATGCTGTAAAGCGAAACAAACCAAACCAGATCTTGTCCGTCTGTCTTCCAGAAGCAAGTGCTATTCTTTGTTTTGTATCATCAGATTTAGTTGGGACAACAGATCTGAGGAAGACAAAGAATAACAACTTTTAAGGATTTGAAATAAATAAATAAATTATAATTTATTTCAAATCATCAGCAGTTCAGTGGCAACTATAAAATTTACTACATTTGATATGATTGTGTGTGTTTGCAGTTGTACTTTTTTTGTAATTTTTGATATCTTTTTTTTTTTTCTTCCCCAGTCTCTGGAGAAATCGGTTGCTGGTTTGAGAATTTAAAAGCTGCAGGCAACTACTTGAGTCTTTCAAATGCAGGAGAGTTGAACATGATTTCCTCCCTTGCCTTCCTGCACATGTCAGCAAAAAAAAACAGAAATGCCCAGCGTTTATGTCTTCAATTCTTTCCCTTTCAAGTTAACCCTCTTCTCTCCTTTACACTGCATCTCAATACGTACATGTTTCCTTTTTTCGTAGTCAATGCTTATTACCCTGCTTCACCCGTTTCTCTCTCCACCGGGAAATTTCTACAGAACCTACTTCTAGAAAAGAAGAAAATAAGAATGACTAAATAAAAAAAAAAAAAAAAGGATTTCACTTTGAATATTTTTTTGTGTTTTGTTGTTTTTATTATTATTATTATTATTATTATTTTCTTTGATTTCTGGCGTTTACACATTTCTTTCCGGATCCCGCCCAGGGACCTAAGGTGTTAGAAATGGCGTCATGACACTTTCCACTGACAAAAAAAAAAAAAAAAAAAAAGAAAAAAAGATTACATAGATAAAGCCCTTCGTAAGGTGTGGGCTGTACTTGTCAGAACAATTTTCTGTATCTCCTTGAGGCATGGGTTATTATTATTATTATAATTATTATTGTAATTATTATTAGTAGTAGTAGTAAAGAATTTTTCTCCTTGTATTTCCATAAGTCAAGAGTTGAGTTAAGGTGCAAGGTTGGAAAGTCGGGAGATGTGTTCTGGCAGTCAGTTTGATGGTCATAAGATGGGTTTAGGTGATTGTTTGGATAGTCAGGTGACAGTGTTAAGACACAAGGTTGGAAAACCAAGGGACTGTTAGCAGGTGTACATCTTAATATATCTTCAAACGTTGTAAGGTGCCCACTGGTAATGTCTGGATGCTATCTTGACTGGTCTTGGAGATATGAAAAAGTTCAACGTCAGCCGTGTATCTAGTGAGGCTCTAAAACTCTGTGCCTAAACAGTGGCCACCAGGACTGTGGTAATAATTCTGCTCAGGTTGTTAACCAATTTTCTTTTGAGAACAAAATAGACTTCATTATATGTTTATTGTACATCTGGAGTATTCACAGATTGGCCTTGCATACATCATACCAGTTCATTTTGTTGGCTTACAAAATACAGTTTTTGTAAAAGTAAATGCAGTTAAAAAAAAAAAAGTCATTGTTTTCAAATGCATTTTAATCTGAAAGCACTTTTTGTAACTGATTGGCTATTGAAGTTGTCATTCCAAAGAATAATTGCTAATGTTAATTTTAATTCTATTAATGTTTTTTTTTCCATTCTGAAGTTTTTTGTTAATTTTTAAATACAAGACACAGGCATAGAATAAATTGTAAAAAAACAGATTAAATTTTGATACCTCAACATGAGAATTTGAAAGAACTGACCTATAATTACTTATTCTGCTTCCTAAAGTCTAAAGAGAAATATTTAAGTTTTTCTGAAATAAATTTTAGTTATTTTACTATGAACGTCTATACATGCATAAACATTTGGAAAAAAGACTTGATTAAAAAACAAAATCAATTTTGTTTGAATTTTCAAACATACAAACAAATGCAGACTAAATTATTAATAATTATTTTATTATCAACATATTTTGTTGGCTTGTTATATTGTTGGGATGAACAAAAACAAATGAAAATAAAAAACAAGTATTTTAATGCATAATAAAATAACTTTTTTTCATTTAGTGTCTAAGAACAGCAAGGATTAGTTTGGATTTAAACCATGAATTCCAAGTGTGTGTCAGCTTGTCACCATGTTTGATTCAGAAGTGCCGAGCTCTGATTAGCAAACAACATGGATTAAATGTTCCTTTGCAATAAAAACTTATTTTTCTTTTGAACCTCATGGAAAAGCAAACATGCAATAATTACATGAACATCTGATTAAACAAAAACAAATGCTTGTCTGAATTTCTGGAATAAGAAGTTATTTAAATGCAGACTATTGTCCTCATGTTTGTTTTTTTTTTATTACAATGTTTCAGCCATTGTGCCCTCCCCCATCATCAGGTGTATATTGATCTGGGTAACCTACAGGGAATTTCAAACTAGACCCTTTATTTAATCCATCAGAGTAGATTGTTTTTGTTCTACTATCCCATGTCCAAAGGGTTCAATTCAAAATTACCTGTAGGTTACCTGGATAGATATACACCTGATGATGGCTGGAGTGTACAACACCTGAAAGGTTGTGATGGCAACAATAGAGAACAACAGAATGCATTTCAATAAAAACAAATGAGGATTTTGTTTGGATTGCAACTTTTTTTTACCCTTGAAGATTTTGGTCATCAAGTGAAAAGATTTCTTACCTTAACTCTTTCTTTCTTTCTTTTTTTTTTTTTTTTTTTTTTTTTTTTTTTTTTAATATATATTTGCCCAAAGCAGTAATCTATTGAAAGTTGATTAAAAAAATCCCAACTATATTTAGTTTATGTAAATGTTGCTTAAACACCTTGATCTTTTGAGAGGCACGATGTGTGTGTGTGTGTGGTGGGGTGAATAGGAATGCTGCTCCAGTATGACTGTTCATCATGGGGACCAGTTTTCTGAGTGTGGCCACCATCTAGTGAGACATAACGATAGAGATGCAGAGTATCCTTCCAGGAGTTCATGGAGGTATGGGGGAGAGGGATGGGAAAGTGCATTAGATTTGAGGCGGGATAATTTTGAAGGACCAAAGTTGTAGCTTGGATTTGGGATTTGACAAATCTTTTGTGACTTCAGTCCTGTTTATCTGCTACATCTTGTGGGGGGAGGGGCTGATGATTGCGTTTAATCATGAAACAGACTTGTCACTGGGTGTTGATGCCCACTTATATAGCCTTTAAGTTCAAATTTCTTCAGGCTCTCAAAACCATATCTGTTCAGTTTCATATCCTAACATAAACAATAATTGAAAGTTTTCTTTGAGAGGTGCTAGGGTAAAGTCTTATGCTCATTCAGTAAAATTATGCATAAGTTTTTTAAGTTTAGAATCAAATATGCAATACAATTTGTGAAATCAGAATTATCATTTTTTTTATATCATCACTCGGTCTGCTAACCCTAACCTATGTGTGATACACACTTAGGCGATCATGTATCTTTCGATACATGACTGACGAGGCAGATATTTTCCCACAGCAGGTTGCCATTTCTTTCTGTGATAGACCAGTTGCCATCCAAGGCTATAAAACCCAGTCTGTCCTGCTATTTACTCATAGCTGGGGGAAGAAGAGGATTCATACCTTTCCAAGGGTATTGGCATGTAAGTGAATGTTAAAAAAAAAAAAAAAAAAATTAATCAACCATGACTTGATTTTTGGAAGATATCATATTCATGTCCTGCCAAGAAAATTGTCATTTCAAATTTAGACTTTTATCAGTTCTCAACACGGCTTGTTGATTTTAGAAACGATATGTTGTTTTTTTTTTTTTTTTTTTTTTTTGTTTTTTTTTTCTTTTTCTATTTTTTACAGTCAGGTGTGTTTCCATGTAATTCTTTTGCTGAAAGTGTGTATGTATGTATATATAAAGATGAAGTGCTTAATATCATAGATAGAGTGTGTGTAAATATAAATGAACATTGAAGTCAACATTTAGAGGCCACCTGACGATTATGTCTTGCATGAAACAGCCTGTCGCCTCTAAATGTTGACTTCAATGTTCACTTATATATATAATATAACAAAATTTTTCACTTATCTGATTGATCTTGTATTCATTGAGTGCTGGTAGTAACAAAACTGCTTAATCTAAAATAGCGGAGCTAAAAAATTCATATTACTAATAAATATTTTGTATCAAATGGTGAGGAACAAAATGTATATTAGTGTGTGTGTGTGTGTGTAATTATATACAAAATTTTTTTTTATTTTTTTTATTTTTTTTAATATTTGTTTCTGTACCATTTTGAAGAGATGCTGTTGATAGTAAGTTTCCCATGTCTTTAATTGTAAAATAACATTCTCTTTGTTTTTATTTTTTTTCTTGAAATTCCAAGTTGACGGAAGTTGAAATCACATTCCTGATTACAGGTTCTTCTACCAGAATTTCTTTTGCTGTTTCAATTGAACAATTCTTCAAAGCAGCAACAAGTGCCACTGGCACTATTTGGGATTTATTTAAAGAATTTTCCACATGAATTCCAATTGGAGCTGACAATATATCAGGTGTTAATGTGTCGGTATTGTAAATTGACTGCAGCAGGTATTCTAGGGATTTTATCTCGGATAATCCTGAAAATCTTTGGATTATACTCAAAGAACGATAAAACAGTTTGTTGTTATTCGGCTTCATGTCGATCATAAGATTTTGAAATACTTTTCCTTTTAAAATATGCGCACCCGTTGAAACAGCGTTTAAGAAACACTTGGCTGCAATTTCATAGAACGATACAGACCATAATTGTGCCATATTGGAACCGATAAGAGATTCTGTAGTTTGGAAGGGAATAAAAATATTCAATACTGTGTATTGCTGACAAGGAAATATTTTGGCCTGTCCATAAAAATTAGCAACAACTACTTTGCATTTAAGAGATGAAAGGAAAGAATCAACAAAATTAATGTTTGAATTTGTTGTTAGGCAAATAACAAGGTCTGTTTCTTGAAGATGTTTACTGATTTTGTCCTTAAAATACTGCAAAGATATGTAGTATTCTTCTCCATAGTGAGTCAAATCACCTTCTACATTCTGAAGGGTGTTATAGCCACCAGCTAGAAATGCTTTAATATCATTCATGTTGGCTCCAAAAGTTGGAGGGCATTCTGAAGAATCAATTAGTCCTGTTATTCCAAGGTTATCCTGACTTAAATAATAGATATGACCTTCAGACTTCAGTGCTTGGCTTGCCCATTCAACAACTTGTGATATGTTTTCTGCTTGTCTGTAAACTTGGTAATAAACTTCCTCATAAGACTTGATCCATGTTTCAGTTTTAAATGGTTTTGATAAAGTTGAATAAACTTGGCAGTAAGCTCCACTGAATATTGTTCCGAGGATGATTTTTGTCGCTGTTCCTCCTTTCA